AAATAGAAACTAAAAAAGGTCAAAAAATCAACAAAATGAAGAGTTGGTTTTTTGAAAAGGTAAACAAAATCAGCAAACCAACAGCTAGACCAATGAATTTAAAAAAAGAAAGAAGACGCAAATAACTAAAATCATGAAAAGTGATGAAAAAAGGGACATAATAACTGATACCAAAAAATACAAAAGATCATAAGAGATAATTATGAGCAATTATAGGACAACAGATTAGATAACCTAGAAGAAATGGCTAAATTCCTAGACACATACAACTTACCAAGAATGAATCACAAAGAAATAGAAAATCTAACAGACCAATAAGTAGGGAGACTGAATCAGTAACAAAAAGTCTCCCATCAAAGAAAAGCACAGAAGCTGATGGATTCACTGCTGAATTCTATCAAACATTTAAAGAAGAGTTAATACTAAACCTTCTCAAAGTCTTCCAAAAAAATTCCAAACTCATTTTACAAGGCCAGCATTACCCTGATATCAAGCCAGGCAAAACTACTACAAGAAAAGAAAATTACAGGCCACTATTCCTAATGAACACAGATTTTAAAATCCTCAACAAAATATTAGCAAACCAAATTCTACAGTACAATGAAAGGACCATACACCAAGATCAAGTGGGATTTATCCCTGAGATGCAAGGATGGTTCGGCATATGTAAATGAATAAATGTGATACACCACATTAATAGAACGAAAGACAAAAACTGTATGATCATCTCAGTAAATACATAAAAAGCATTTGACATAATTCAACATCTTTTCATGATAAAAACTCTCAACAACAGAGTTGAGAAGGAATAGGAATATAGCTCAGTACAATCAAGGCAACGTATGACAAACTCACAGCTAACCTCATACTCAGTGGTGAAAAGTTGAAAGCTTCTCCTCTAAGATCAGGAACAAGATAAGGATGCTCAATCTCTCCACTTATGTTCAATATAGCATTAGAAGTTCTAGTCAGGGCAATTAGGCAAAAGAAAGAAATGAAGGTACCCAAATAGGAACCATCACTGTTTGCCAACAACATGATCTCATTAAAGAAAACCCTAATGACTCCACCAAAAAACTGTTAGAACTAATAAATGAATTTCATAGGGCTGTAAGATATAAAGTCAACATACAAAAATCAGTAGTGTTTCTATACACCAACAACGAACTAGCCAAAAAAGAAATCACAATCCTATTTATAATAAAATCATTACTAAAGAATAAAATACTTAGGAATAAATTTAACCAGGTGGGTGAATGATACGTATTTTGAAAATTATAAGGAACTGATGAAAGAAATTGAAGACACAGTAAATGGGAAGACATTCTGTGCTCATGGATTGGAATAATTAATATTATTAAAAAGTACATACTACCTAAGCAATCTACAGATTAAAAGCAATCCCGATCATTTCTGTGTCATTTTTCACAGAAATAGAAGACACAATCCTAAAATTCATATAAACCACAGAAGACCCTGAATATCCAAACAATCTTAAGCAAAAAGAAAACAAAGCTGGAGGCATCATATTACTTGATTTTAAACTCTATTACAAGCTATAGTAATCAAAACAGCACGGTACTGGCATAAAAAGAGAGACAAGACCAATGAAATAGAATAGAGACTCCAGAAATACATCCACATACTTATAGCCAATTGACTTTTTTTTATTTCAGCATATTACAGGGGTACAAATGTTTAGGTTACATATATTGCCTTTGCCCCGCCCAAGTGAGAGCTTCAAGCGTGTCCTTGCCCTCCTCCCCAAATGTGGTATATATGTATACCATGGAGTTCTACTCAGCCAAAAAAAAACAATGGTGATCTAGGACCTCTTGTATTATCCTGGATAGAACTGGAGCCCATTCTGCTAAGTGAAGTATCACAAGAATGGAAAAACAAGCACCACACGTACTCACCATTAAATTGGTATTAACTGATCAACACTTAAGTGCACATATAGTAATAACATT